AAACGGTTTATTATCCAACTATCAGAAATTTCACAACATGCCAAGGAAGAGAGGAAGGAGCAATTAAATAATTAAAATTATAAAGGATTTAAAAATATATATAAAAATGGGGAATATCGCACTTCTAACAATCTCTGCGAGTATGTGGGCTAAATTTAAAGAAACCGTGCTTCTCACATGGACAACTGTATGTGGCCAACTCACGCGTCGGAAAACCTTCCGATTTATTCGTGTACGCACCAGACGAAAAAACAAAAAATATCGTGTATCCACGAGCACTCCAATAAATAAATAGAATTGAAACAACACTTTGAAATGTTTTCCCGATGAAAACGAATAATAATAATAAGTTTCAATAAAAATGATAAAATGTAAATTGAATTTTATTATAACGAGTTTGCTTGAATTTCGTTTCTTTTGAGATCGCAGCAATGCGCGACGGTTAAGCTAGTTAATCTATATATATAAAAATGAATGTATGTGTGTCTGTGTGTCCTTCATGCATTACCATTATCCGATTGCCGTGAAACTTTGGGAAGTTGTTTAATATACTCCAGCGAAGGTTTGTGGCGTAGTACGATTTCCATGAAGCTTTGGGAAGTTTTTTTTTAATAAACTCTGGCGAAGGTTTCTGGCATTTACCCTACGATAGATGGCGCGCGTTTACACGAGCATTCGAGCACAGTGTGTTCATTCGATTTCAAATTGTGAAGACCATTTCCCCCCTCCAAAAAATATCTCTATATATGCATTTATTATTTACGATATTTGTTACAATTTTTGTTTAATTACTTTATTTCAACTTATTTTTGCTAATTACGTAATCGCTCGAACTTTGTTAAAGCCTTAACTGTATCATGAACAACAACTGAAGTTGTAGAAGGAAATTCGTCTATTTTACCGATCTAGGGATCCCCCTTTTCCAAATTTTAATATTGACTCAAAATAATTTAAAAAGACAAATTACAATAAAATGGTTTATTATCCAACTACGAGAAATTTCACAACATGCCAAGGAAGTGAGGAAGGAGCAATTAAATAATCAAAATTATGAAGGATTAAAAAAAATATATAAAAATGGGGAATATCGCACTTCTAACAATCTCTGCGAGTATGTGGGCTAAATTTAAAGAATCCGTGCTTCTCACTTGGACAACTGTATGTGGCCAACTCACGCGTCGGAAAACCTTTTGATTTATTCGTGTACGCACCAGACGGAAAAACAAAAAATATCGTGTATCCACAAAGCACTCCAATAAATAAATAAAATTGAAACGACACTTTGAAATGTTTTCCCGATGAAAATGATAAAATGTAAATTGAATTTTATAACGAGTTTGCTTGAATTTCCTTTCTTCTGAGATCGCAGCAATGCGCGACGGGTAAGCTAGTAAAAGATAAATCTAAAAAACTGTATTGGTGTTACGAGTAAATATGTTTAATTGAGTACTTTCAATATTATATAACAGGTAATATGGTGGATAGAACATTAGAACTCTAGAGATAGAACACATTTTCAAATTGCCCTTTGGGCATAAACATGGAACATAAACACTGAAGAAATAAAAGTAAAAAATTATACAATATTACATATGAAATAATAAATATGATACACAATGACTATGGCTAATGAAATTAATGGAATTAATATACACATACATAATTGACAGTAATACAAAGAAAATGTAAACAAAAATATTGGCACGCCATTGATGCCAATATGCTTTTGTCACATAATTGCACAACCTACGAATTTAAAAGCTCAAACAGCTCAACCCACAGCTCTGGTGTATCGATTGTGGGAAAGTTGCATGACAACCAGTGTTGCCGTTCCTAGTACATTTGTACTTTTCTGGTACATTTTGCCCTTTCCATTAAATTGAAAGTACATTTAGATTTTTAGTACATTTTCAGTACATTATAATATTTCAAGTACCATTTACGGTACAAAATAATATTTCACGCCTTAACGAAAAAATGAGAAAAATAAGTTTATTAAAGTCTCACTAGTGTCACTGCTTGCTAATTTAAATTATCCAATCACAACATACAAATGGTGTGTGTCCATCGACGTCAGCAACATAGATAGTTGCACGTGTAAACGGTCTTGACTCAGTGGTCTTCTTTCACACGTTCAGTTGTCTGCACATTCTCATCAGGACCTTGACAAAATTTTTCATGCCACGTGGTCCAAACAATTCAACTCCGTCAAACAAAAATAATGGACAGGTAAGGAAATCAATGATTTTAAACTTTTGTCGTCAATAATATCAAAATA